TCAAAGGGAGTTATGATAGCGAATTTGTTCAGTTTGGCCATATGGAAAGCTTTCGCGTGTATCCCGACTGGCAAAGACCTCTAACCAATTCGCTTCCGTTCAGGATCGTTTGCGGGAATGGTTGCCCTCGGGTAGAGAGAAGCTTATTAGACACTCCTGTCTCTTGATAGAGCAGCTTGATATCGATGGTTTTCGGTACGACAAAGCAAGTCAAGCCACGGTCGACGCGTTAAGTGATATGAGCGAGGCATATCGTGCCTGCGCCCGAAAACTTGGGAAAAACAATTTCTTTCTCCCAGGAGAGATCACTGGTGGGAACACACTTGGTTCCATTTATATCGGCCGTGGGCGACAAGCCGATATGCGATTGCTAGATTTAAAAGATGCACTTCGACTCGATAGCAACAACGAGGCCTCCTTTATCCGTAAAAAGGGAAAATCTGCTTTGGATGCCGGTGCGTTTCACTACTCTGTCTATCGGGCCATGACGAGATTTCTTGGTATGAGCGGCAATCTAGCGGCCGGTTACGATACTCCTGTTAATTGGGTTGCCTCTTGGTACGAGATGCTCCTCACTAATGATCTAATCAACGTGAACACCGGCAAGCTCGATCCGCGACATATGTACGGCGCTACCAACCAGGACGTTTTCCGCTGGCCCGCTCTCAAAGACGGCACCCGAAGACTGCTTATGGCCTTGTATATAGTGTCGTTGCACCTTCCTGGGATCCCCTTGATCCTCTGGGGCGAAGAGCAGGCGTTCTATATCCTCGACAGTACAGCGTCGAATTACATATTTGGTCGACAGCCGATGTCTTCTGCGATTGCTTGGCAGACCCATGGATGTTACCGACTCGGTTCATCTCACTACTTCCAATGGCCTCTTGGACCTGCTGCTGACGGCTGCCACGATGACGCTGTTAGTTATGACCATCGAGATCCATCACATCCCGTTCGAAACATTTTAAAGGCCATATTCCAAATGCGAGAAAACTATCCTACGTTGAACGACGGCCTTTATACCCAAGAGCTGTCAAAGCTGACCCGAAATAAAACCCATGACCCTCGAGATATACCAACTGAAGTCGGTATATGGTCGGTCCTTCGCGGGCATTTCAATGAGGTTCAGGACCCTGAACATAAGGATTTGCCCATATGGCTCATTTATCATAATGATGATCAAAGGGTTGACTATAATTTTGACTGTGGCAACCGAGAGAAGGCCCTTATTTCCGTCTTTGACGAAGGTATTACTGTGAAAAACTTATTTCACCCTTATGATGAGCACAAGCTGAAGCCGAGCCCTGTGAAACTTGGAATCAACAACTCAACAAATCACAATGGATGCCTTGACACTCTGCGGATGGAAGCCTGGGACTTTCGGGCGTACGTTCCTAAATCAAAATTCATCCGCCCAAATCCTATGATCACAAAATTCTTACCTGGTCATGACGCGCGGCTAGCCTCCAAAGTTGGCTCAACCGCAAATGAGACTATCCACGTGGAGATTTACTTTTCCGACGAGATGAATTGCAGCAGCGTGACAGAGAGCTTGTTGTTCAACTCAACGACACATAACGGTATTAAACCATCAATAGGGCGCCGCAGCGTGCAATGCAAATCAATTGAACCCACCAAGCTACAATTTGCAGGTGAAATACCCGGTATTTGGAAATGGTCTGGGAACCTTACTGGAGTATACAACGGAATTCATCGGCTACAGATCGAAAGTGCAAAGTCAAAAGACGGGAAGCGGACTACTGGTGTTGTTGACCAATTTCTGTTCCGAATCGGGCAGCTAGATAATCCAATGGTTTTCACACGCACGGCAAATTACTCGTCTACCTTGCTACACCGGAACGAAAAGGGAGAACTCTACGTGAACCATCATGCCGCTGGTGCTGACTCTTACCGATATTCAACTGATTGGGGTTTAAGTTGGTCGGAGTGGATGCATTATAAAGGCGGGAATGATACGCTGAAGAAGCAACAGTGGATTGGTACCAAGAAGCAGCGGTGGAAAGGTGAGCATGTGATTGTTGAGTATTGGAATCGTATGGCAGGCAGTAGTAGCCACGTCCAGCACGGCGATCTCGACTGGCAACATGATCATACAAGGAGATTCCCACATCTGTTCTGGAACGGACCGCATAATCTCTACGGTTACGACGCTGGAATTGAAAACCAATTGCGCCTCAACGAAAACGGACAGTGGACCATAGGTTTTATGTCAGAGTGGCCAACTGTGGCTCAAGTGAATGTTTGGGGTATGAATAAGGATGGAGAACCAGATAAAAGCTACGTTTTTGGCGATGCCAACGAAGATTCTGTCTTGGATCGTCTTCCACCTTCATCGTTGAAAAAATCAGTCCTCAAAATTGAGCCTCCTCCTTTGCCCTACCTATCTTGGACTTTCGTCTTGAACGATGGAACATTACGTTTTGAGCTGCTTCCCGCCAGTTCAATGTATGTGCAACTGGCTCTTTTTGTGATTTTGTTGGTCATTTTCATCGCAACTGCAGTAGCTGGAGGTTATGCGTTCAAACGTCACTTTTGTCGAGTCATTGTTAATACGGGTGACATGGAGAATAAACAGGCTCTCCTTATGTCGGCTGAAGAATGCTGCAAGACTCCAGGGCCATTCAAAAGACTAATGAGCATATTCGGCCGCTTAATCATAAACGAAGATCCCCGGTGCTTACCGTACTCACGACGGACTGTTCTTATTGCGACAATGGAATACGAAATAAAGGATTGGGGTATAAAGATCAAAATTGGAGGCCTCGGAACCATGGCAAAGCTCATGGTGCAAAGTTTACATGATCTAAATTTGATTTGGGTCATCCCCTGTGTCGAAGGTGTCGTGTATCAACTTGATCAAAAAGCCGCACCTATGACCATCAAAATTTTTGGCGAGAATTACAAGGTTGATGTTCAGTATCACACCATTCGAAATATTACCTATGTTATTCTTGATGCGCCCATTTTCCGGCAACAGAAGAGCGATGATCCATATCCGGCTCGGATGGACAACCTTGACAGCGCTGTATATTACTCCGCTTGGAACCAATGCATTGCGCAAACCATGCAGAGGTTCCACATTGATATATATCACATCAACGATTATCATGGTGCACTTGCCCCCCTCTATATCCTTCCCAAAACTGTGCCGGTGTGCCTGTCTCTTCACAATGCCGAGTTTCAAGGTCTCTGGCAAATTCGCGAGGATGATGACATGAAAGAGTTGTGTCAGGTGTTCAATATTACTAAAAATATTGTCAGGAAATATATTCAATTTGGGGAAGTTTTCAATATGTTACACGCTGCTGCGAGTTATTTGCGAATTCATCAACAGGGCTTCGGTATCGTGGGTGTATCCGAAAAGTACGCAGAAAGGTCTTATAAGAGATATCCTATCTTCTGGGGATTGAAAACCGTGGGGAAACTACCTAATCCGGACCCAGATGATAATGGAGTGGTTGAGGAGGACTGTGAACATACAGATATCAAAATCGATCCCCAGTATGAGGTCTCGAAAGCCCAACAAAAGAGACAAGCACAGGAATGGGCAGGACTTGACCAGAATCCAAAGGCCAGATTGTTTGCATTTGTTGGAAGATGGTGCTCACAGAAAGGTATAGACCTCATAGCAGATGTCTTCCCTCGCCTCCTTGAAACCCGAAAGGATGTACAGCTTATCTGTGTTGGCCCGCTGGTTGATCTTTATGGAAAACTTGCTGCGTGGAAACTCCACAAGCTGATGGAAATGTATCCGGCCCAAGTGTATTCGAGGCCCAAATTTACGTCTATTCCACCTCATATTCAGGCCGGAGCTGATTTTGTTCTTATCCCTTCGAGAGATGAACCCTTTGGTTTGGTTGCCGTGGAATTCGGTCGCAAAGGTGTCCTCGGAGTTGGGGCAAGAGTTGGGGGTCTGGGACAAATGCCAGGTTGGTGGTATCCGGTTGAATCTACCGCAGCCAGCCATTTGATACAACAATTTCGGCAAGCTATTGACCAGGCGTTGAACGCGAAGCCTGAAGACTTGGCCAAAATGCGTGCAAGCTCAAGGACACAGCGGTTCCCTGTCGCACGATGGGTTAAAGAGCTTGATATGCTACATCTCGCTGCAATCAGGATACACGAGAAAAATCGCGCTTTTCCTGCCCCTATAGAAGCCTGCCCCACAAACCCCGGAGATACAAGAAACGACAATGTCGCCGAGCAGGAGAGTGGTGAATCTCTCCTCGATCTTCTGCATGCCGACCACTTCCCATTTTTGCCACCCGATCCTCCTTCTATGTGTGCAGTACACCCCTTTGCCTTGGCTCCTGACCCTTTTGTTGCAGCGGGTAGCGGCCCTCTTGCTTCCCTTAACTTGGTTACGGGCAATAGAAAGGATTTCCGCTTGCAAAATGTGGATCCGGCTTTTACTGATCGAAAGGGTGAATTCATAGAAGCATTTTTAATGTGGCTTGAATGCTTAAATGGAAACAACTCTGAGACCCTACTATGTATTGAAGCATTTTTGAAAAAGGTTGAGAAGAAATGGTACCAACGCCTCAGGAGTGGCCGTTTGACCAAGGCTCAGCCGAAAGAGTCTGGCCAAACCGATTGGGCGCTTCCTCCTGGTTTCGCTAAGGATTTGGAATTGGCGGAGGGAAAAGACGAGCATGACGACGGTACAAGCGCCGACAACATGAACAACCCGGTTGGCCTCAAGCGACTTATGCTGGCCCGGATTGGAGACTGGCCAGTTTATTCATTTTTTCTTGCGTTTGGACAGATAATAGCTGCCAACTCTTATCAGATATCGCTGCTAAGTGGTGAGGTTGGGCAATCGGCTGAAAAGCTCTACATTATTGCAACAGTATACCTCGTCGGGTCTATTGCTTGGTGGCAAGCTTTTAAGAGATTCAAGGCAGTTACAGTGCTCTCTATTCCCTTTTTCGTTTATGCCCTAGCTTTCTTTTTGCTTAGTTGTGCTCAATTCGGATACACTGAAACGGCAACAGGAGTGATTCAGTTTTTCAGTGCTGCGTTATATGCCTTTTCGGCTGCTAGTGGTTCTGTCTTCTTTGCCCTCAATTTTGGCGATGAAGGAGGCACACAAGTAAGGGACTCTGTGTTCAGAGCCTGCATCATCCAAGGTACACAGCAAATTTTAGTGGTCGTGTTATGGTACTGGGGTTCGAGCTTATCGAAAAGCAGAGCTGCAGGTCAAAACCCAAACCCGGGCTCCTGGCAAATCCAGTAAGCCTTACCCTTATCTTGCAGCAGAAAGCCCTGGAACTAACCATGATTAAAGCCCTACCGCATTTGCCGTTGCTGTGGCTTTTTGCGCGGTCGGTGGTACGTCCTTCTATGGGCTTCCCGACTGCTATCGGCGCCCTCGTGCGAAAGTCCCATCATTCTACGTCTCCGTTTTCCGCCGGAAGATTCTGCTGTGGTTTTTCGCCTCAGTAGGTATTCAAAACTTCTTTCTCAGTGCACCGTACGGCCGCAATTGGAGTTGTGAGTCTCTCCCATTAGACCTTGCTGAGTAGCTCATGTTTCTAACCAAGGCACAGTTCTCTGGGGCTCCAGCCATACCAAACCATGGCAAATTGTGATGCTTGTTCTTGCATTCTTCATTGTTGTTTGGTGTGGTATGCTCGGTATGAACTGCGGAATAGATCATGATGAAAAGGCACTTTTACTTACTAGGATTAGCACTCCTAAAACGAGTATCCCAAACGCACACTTGGATATTACCCGTTTTTGCTGTTGGACTAGGTCAGTACCGCATTTCAAACCAATCCTTTGTGTTTCCATTGTATGTTAACGCCGTCCTTAGGAGCTCCAAGATGGGCACAGATTTGGTGGGGAACAAGTGGCATTGGCTCCTATCTCCCGTGGGCGGGTGATCCCACTACAGGTGCACTTGTTTCCCGGTCATTATGGCTTTGGCTTGGAGTATTAGATTCATTACAAGGAGTAGGCTTTGGAATGGCGCTCCTACACACGTTAACCCGGGTTCATATATGCTTTACCCTTCTTGCAGCACAGATTCTTGGATCACTGGCTACCATGTGCGGCCGCACACTTTCTCCAAATAAACTTGGCCCTGGCAATGTACATCCAAATATTGCTTTTGGGGCGGGTGTCATTGGGACTCCTTGGTTTTGGATTGTATTAGCTTTGCAACTTTCTATTCCGTGAGTCCCCCGTTTCTTCCTGTGATGCTGCGATGTAATATACTAATCGCTGAGTTGCAGTGTGGGATTCTTTTTATTTTTCCGCAAGGAGCAGCTTAGCAAACCTTGAGGCAGCGGGGAGGTTTCTTCGTGTGGAAGATCTAGAGGAAATTGTAAAGGAGAGTACGAAGAGATCATACCAAGTCTAAGGGCAAATTAAAAGGGATATTATAGGGGAGAATAAGTAGAAAATTATAGGAAATAGAATTTATATATCAATTACTCTTCCGCCCCATACTGCGCACGATAATCTTTCAAACGCTTTAGATTTTCGTCTCCAATATCGTTCCCGAGTTTGTCAATGATGTCGCTTAACCCTAGCACTGCTCTGACAGGAACGTTTCCACCCAAGTCTCTCTGAGCGCAGCCCACAGCGCTCTTCTTTTCAGCGTCATTAACGCGCTCTTCCCGGTCTAGGAGTACCAGGACGCCCACAACAGTGCCACCCTCCTTCTCTATAATACCCACTGCTTCCCTCAAAGCCGTGCCGGCCGTGATGACATCGTCAATTATAACCACTTTCTTTCCCTTTAATGGCGCACCGACTATATTCCCGCCCTCGCCGTGGGCCTTTGCTTCTTTCCTATTAAACGAGTAGCTAACATTATCCCAGGCGCCAGTCGTGTCGCGGACACCCAGCTCGTTCAGCACGGCCGTGCAGAGCGGGATACCCTTGTAGGCGGGGCCGAAAATGATGTCGAAATTTGGGCGGGCGGGGCTGCCATCGTTTTGGGCGGATGAGACGAAGGGCGGCGAGGACAGGACGGTGGCGCAGGCGGAAGCTGTTGCGTGGAGGAGGGGTGCGGTGTGCAGGAGGGTGGTGGTGAAGAAGTAGGGCGAGTTGCGGCCGGATTTGAGGGTGTAGGAGCCGAAGGAGAGGACGTTGTTGGAGATGAGGTGGGAGAGGAGGTTGGTTTTGTAGTCTGGAGAGGGTGACATGGTGGATTGGACAGTTGCTCGAAGCGTGTAGTAGAGGGCGGGGATGTATGCGGATTTTTTTTTTTTTGTATGGCGGCCGCGGAGAGGGGCAGCGGGTTGGCGGGGGAGGGGTTTGCGGCTGTTGGGGATTTGTTAGTGATTTGAATCGCAGGAGGAGCACCTTCAGATGGAACTTACGGAAATGCGTATTGCGGTCTCTGGCGAGTTTTCTGGATTTTCTTTTCCAATTGGAAAAAATCTCTGGAGATAGCGCTTTCGGTGATGTTTCTTCGACGATTTGCCTGGTCGACCACAAAGCTTGGCATTAAGTTGTTTCTCTCTTGATGAGGACAGCGAGCATCAACTTCAAGTGTTATCGTCAAGAGGAACGATATTTAACTTGAATAGACTGGCCCAATTGTTAGGGATCGATATACCCAGTCTATACCTCCGGTCGCCCAATTTTTATCTCACATATCTCACGAGGAATCAAGCACCACCTTGCGACACCCTGGAAGTTCTGTCTGCGTACAAGATACCCCATACTCGACTCAAAATTTCACATCTCACCGGCTTTGTCTGACCATTTCGTCGCTGGGGATATCGCTCATAGCCCAGTCCACCGGGACTCGACCGCATGCACAGCCCAAGAAAGTGAACCTGGCACCATGATCTAACTCTTTTTCTTGATGTGTGCATCCGGCGCAAGAACAATAACGCAACCGAGTGGTCAAATCTACGCGCTGGGAGGATGTCTTCTGCTGGACTCGAAGCTCACAAGCCAGTATCAATCAACTCATTCAAATATGAATCTTCTGCCTTGATTGCGCAGTGTCAATTGCTGGAACCCCTGCAGCCAAAAGATTGTTAAGTAGCATCCCACACAGGCCGGGGTTGGCTGTTGTTGTGGGATATGCGCAGAATCTTCTCGTCTGACATGCGGTGGCTGCTGATTTGTGCCGAAAAGAAAAACTGAAAAAAGGCCTCACTTTTCAGTTGATCCCTTTAGAAGTGAAGAGAAGCGCCTTTAGCTTCCATTGAAAGTCATGAGTATATGCCCATAGTCGATGTGAATGGCAGGCTGCTTCACTCTGTAGCATCAAAACTAGTCAGGAGTCAACCTATAGTTAATAAAAGAAAGTCATTCTCTGTGCTCTAAAGATCAATAGTCAAACCCCATGAGGCATTCTCGGATACTGACGCTGTGCACTGATTCTGTGCCGGAGACTTTCTGGAGGCTGTGATCTCCCTGAGTGATCCCGTCCGAACTTTGGTTGCTTTTCCCATCCCAACTCTCCTCACCTTTCCACCTCCAACCACCCCCAGCGTTGTTCTCTCCGGACTGGTCATTTCCACCCTTCACTGTGAGTGCAGCCATAATTGTCATTGGGATTGTCCACTGACTTTGCATTGAGCGCCCTTTCTAACCCTACGGCCATAACCGCAGTGTGGCCTGCCTCTCAGCGGCGCTCCGACACCGGTTCCCCCACCATAGCTTGAGCAAACACATCACTCAGCGTACGAATCACTGACTCATTCCTTGTTGCTGACTTTCCGATATTTCCTTTGAGATTCTCTTCGACTGCGTCTTACGGGATTTTCTTGTCTGCTGACCCGTTGTACATGTCACGGGAGTTAGCGGACAGGTGGGCACGCAAGAGATATTTGGGTTGAAGCGAGAACTGCCCGTAACTGAGAGCCACCACCGATTATCAGACTCAGTGAAGTTTGTCGGCGTCATTCCAAGGAACCCAAGCGTCAATTGAATTGTCGAGCGGAAGAACGGTACGTTTCTCCTCCCGATCGTACTCCCTTTCCTATCTGCTATTACTGCGAGTGGAAAGCGTGGATTGTCTTGCGCCGTGATCCATATGTCCTCTGGCGCCTTTATTTCTCGAGGATGGTGGACTCGTTTACTCAATTACTTTGTCTTCCTGTGTCCAGTCTTTTTAACAACTGTTATTCTCTTAGATAAAGTAAAATGCATATCAAAGACAAGCTGGCCCATTCGGAGGCCGCCGGGCGGCCAAGCATCTCGTTTGAATTCTTTCCACCCAAGACCGCGCAAGGTGTGCAGAACCTTTACGATCGTATGGACCGCATGCATGGACTTGGCCCTTCTTTCGTTGACATAACTTGGGGAGCTGGAGGCCGATTATCAGACCTAACAGCCGAAATGGTCAATGTCTCCCAATCCGTTTATGGCCTCGAGACATGTATGCATCTTACATGCACTGATATGCCACGTGAAAAGGTCGATTGGGCTTTGCAGTCTGCCTACAAGGCTGGTTGTACCAACATTCTTGCACTTCGAGGCGATCCTCCCCGAGAAAAAGAAGCATGGGCTCCCACAGAAGGCGGGTTTCAGTATGCAAAAGACCTTGTGAAATATATTCGAGAAAAATATGGCAACCACTTTGATATTGGAGTCGCGGGCTACCCCGAAGGATGCGAAGACCAAGAAGATCCAGAACTTCTAATGACGCACTTGAAGGAGAAGGTTGATGCCGGTGGCACCTTCATTATAACTCAAATGTTCTACGACGTTGACATCTTTCTTGATTGGGTGAAGAGATGCCGTGAACAAGGTATCAAGGTGCCAATCCTCCCCGGAATCATGCCGATATCTACCTACGCTGCGTTCTTGAGAAGGTCGAACTGGGTGAAATGTCGAGTTCCACCCTCGTGGATGGAGGCCTTGGAACCTTGTAAGAATGACGATGCTGCCGTCAAACAAATTGGTAAAAAACTTGTCTCTGAAATGTGTCGAAAGATCCTAGACTCGGGGATCCGTCATTTGCACTTGTAAGAACCCTTATCTCAGTCGCTACAACCTTCACTGACATTTTGAAACATATAGTTACACGATGAATTTAGCCCAATCTACTAAAATGGTCCTGGAAGAGCTTGATCTGATTCCGTCGTCGGAAACTCCACTACAGAAGCCTTTGCCATGGCGGCAGTCACTTGGTCTCGGCCGAAGAGAGGAGGATGTCCGCCCTATATTTTGGAGACACCGTCACCAGTCATATGTTGCTCGCACGCAGACGTGGGACGAATTTCCCAATGGTCGTTGGACTGATTCGCGCTCCCCCGCGTTCGGTGAGCTCGATGTTTATGGCATCGGCTTGAAAGGCACTAACGAGCAAAACATAAAACTCTGGGGTGAGCCAAAGTCCATCAAAGATCTGTCAAGCATTTTCGTTCGATTCCTGGAGGCCAAGCTTGATAGGCTCCCTTGGAGCGAGAGTTCCATAACGGAGGAAACAGACATCATCAAACAAGACCTGATCGACTTGAATAACCGGGGTTTCTTAACCATCAACTCCCAACCAGCCATCAATGGTGCGTCCTCCTCGCACCCAGTGTACGGATGGGGACCGAAAAATGGCTACGTTTATCAAAAGGCATACTTGGAACTCCTCATTCCGCCAGAAATAATTGATGAAGTGATCACTCGTATTCAGAAAAACGCCGATCTTACATATTACGCTACAAATAAGAACGGAGAGTTGAAAACAAACACGAGCGACAGCCCGAATGCCGTCACTTGGGGTATTTTTGCTTCCAAAGAAGTTATCCAACCTACTATTGTTGAGACTGTCAGCTTTTTGGCCTGGAAAGACGAGGCGTACCGACTGGGAGACGACTGGGCAAAATGCCACGATGCTCGTAGTCCAAGTAGGCAATTGATTCAACGCGTGATGGACGAATGGTACCTTGTTAATATCGGTGAGTATGATCTCTGACCCGCGTCACATTTAATTCTCTATCTAACAACCTCATAGTCAACAATGATTTCCATAAAACTCACGACATCTTCGATCTTTTCAAGGACCTCACTGTGAAGGGCCTCGACGTCGAACTGACCGAAATCGTCGATCCCGCTTCTCAACCAGCAGATGCCATTTTGGGACAACTGAATGGTGACACTACTCAGGACATCAAGGGCAACGGGCAGTCTAATTAGGTGACTTTTAACCTCATATCTTCAACAATTGAGGAGCACCACCACTAGGTTTACCCAGCAACATATTCTGGATCCGTCTCTCTATTTCTCTCCTATTACCCGGGTTAAAAAAGGCCCTCGATACCCACAATTGGCTTCTTCGCATATTCTCAACGAAATAGCAATGATTCGTCTTAACATATACATTCATCACGGGCGGCGTTTTATGGGTCGTGCGCACTTTGCCTTTGGCAAGAAACCGCGTACTAATAAAAGCATGCGGGAAGGCCTCGGGATGCTACAGGGCATAGTCCACGACCACGGCACTAAAAATGGATTTTTCAACATTTTCGATTTTAAATTTCAACAAAACAATAGCGATTCTTAATGACACGAACAAGTTTAACACACGAACGGGATAGATGGGGTACACAAATGGGGACGATGAAATGAATCTTCAACACGATTATTTGCTCAGCGATGGCGACTTGGGATGAATTTGGGCTTTTAAACCTTTCATAGACAGAAGTTATTCGATTTTCTTTTTCTTTTTCTTTTTCTTTTTTATTCTTCAAAATTTGTACTTTCTCTCGGCTTCTTTGAATGGTTTCGCTCTCCAGGTTGGATTGAGACCACCTTTAGCTTCAGCAATCAATGACTCAACACTCCAAGTGGAGGGTACCAAAATTCAACATTAAGTTTAATGTATTAAATTGAACTCATCGCAAAATGCTTCTAGAATAGGTATGCAATTAATCATTTCGACTATAGGCCGCTTAAACAAACAGGCCCGTAGTTAAGGGTTGAACGAAATGCCGTACTTGGAACGCAATACCCATCGAAACAACAAAAAGAGGCCACTTGTGTACCCGCCATAGTGAATGATCTGTTTCGTAATCCAGCAGCCGTGAAGTCCAAAAGTAATAATACAAGCGAGAGCTTTCCAAATTACATATGTTAGGAGAGCAAGAGGGATGTAGTTTATCCATGAGTAAGCGACATCGACGCATGGCTCTGTTGTGCCAAAGGCGTTCGAGGCTGCGAGAAAATGCCTATATGCTTTCAAAATTAATCGAAAGCAGGACACCAGAATATTAACAGTATATGGAAGAACCGGCCAAGCGTATAAGCAAGTTGCATGGCTGCGAGAATAGCAAATGTCGCGCAGTGTGAGATTACGGCCCTGGTTCACGAGCGTAGGGGTGGACCCATCCGTGAGAGTATTCGTAGTCCTGATATCGTCTTCTGCTATGTTTGTGTATCCTGGGCGATTGACGGCGACGAACCCCATGCCGGGACTGCTTCGAGAAGGACGGAAGGCAGATGCATAGGGCTGCCCCCTTTCTTCTGTGAGACTTGGATTTGTGTCTGGGTTTAGCTCCGTGCTTCGAGAACGAAGCTTGGGCGAGTGAGTTGCAAGGTTGGCTGTAGTGGTAATGATAGTGGATGCAGCCTCCTGAGGGTTGGCCTTGGGACATAAGAGGGAAATGGGATCCTGTGTCGGGGTCAACAATGTACCTCCTTTGATTCTCCTCTCTAGGAGACTGCTTGAACATATTCTGGAATGCCGGTTTCGAGTAGACGCTATATTTTCCATCTGCTTCTCCCCTATCATTGAAAGCCGATTTTGCCCTTGTCCCTCTTTGATTGTGCTCGGTGGCGAAGGGTTGCTTGCTTTTCGAGACTCCATAGCCTTCGCCCGGCCACCCCCTAAAAAATACTCCTGTTCCAACATTTGAGGTGGACGACTAATATCTGGTTCCCCCTGACCATACTTAATATCTTTGGACAGCTTTTTGGGCGGAGTGCTTGGTCCATTTGGAGCTGGTTCCGGGGGCGTTAGGGGGATTTTTGGATCCACAAACTTTTCTCCATTTTTATAAATTCGGTCAATTGCCTTTTGAAACTCCGATATTTGTTGCGTCGTCATAGTCGGCGGACAAGGCTCTCTGGCAGACGGCATATTGACAACAAACCGATCCTCGACCTGAGAATGCCGAACCCCACGTTGTTGCAACCTGCGGATATAAGATCGTGCTTTGTCCTCTACGTCACTTGGTTTTTCAGTAGAGGGAGAAGGCAATGGCGTCTTCGCATCCTTATCCAAGCTTATCCACTGGTCACCTTTTAGCCGCCATTTCTTATCCATGGCGTTATCCTCGTTGTTCAATAATCCCTCTGATCCGGCGATATCTGAATCATCGCTATGACTGGTAATGCTTGGGCTAATGACGCCGGTTCTGGGATTTGCACCACGTGCGGTTAGATAATCGTCGCGACTGATAGTATGCTTACGTTTGCTTCGACCAGTCCACGATTTGGCAGGCCATAGAGGGTTATCGGCGTCTTGTGTTATTTCACACTGAGGTGTCTTCCGTATGGTTCCCGCATCGCTGGCAAAATCTTGGTGTTCGAGTTGGCTTTTTTCTCCAATGGTAGCCAAATTGCCTTTCCCTTTCTGATTCTTCAGCAAAAAAAATTGTCTGGTCTGAGGCTTCGAGTCCTTGGGTTGAGACATAGGAGCTTGATCCCGTAAATAGCCACTGTCGCGACTCCGAAACTTCCGTTTGCGTCTGGAATCGGGTCGACTGAAAAAAGATTCCCGGAAGCGTGCTGACCATGATGAAGGGCGCTGTTGGCTCCTTTGGTGTGGTTCAACGGGCAAATAAAGATGCGTTGGTCGAGTGGAAGAAATGCTCAAAGTCGAGGCCTCAGAAACTGCTGGAGGCATGGTTCAACTACTCCGCGCAGGCATATAAGAATAAAAATATATGTATCAATACCCGGTTCATGGGAGCCAGGGAACGAAATAATCCGCTTGAAACGAAGGATGCTGGCTCCTCAGTATGGGCCTTGAGAGCAATAACAGCAAAGTGCAATAGGAAAATAAATGACGTTGAAAATAAGAAGTAGAGGAAGTACAGCTCACTTCACATGGTAATTGCCTTCTACCCTACCCAGGCGAGTAGGAAAGTGCAACTAAGCCATTCGATATATAGAACAGCAGGTAGCGAAAGCCTGAATGCGAGGTCGGTAACTTATGGAGATAAGTTGTTCATGATTCTCATTTCAGAATCACACTATTCCTTCAGCAAAATGAGACACAAAACGCCAAAAAATGCAGATGCAAGATATGTAGGAAGCTGGAAGCGAAGCAACACCATCAACGAATTCATGCAGGTCATATATTTTTTTTTTCAAAGGAATAAATTAGTATCGTCATCAGTACCGACCACTTTCTCTCCTACTATTACTGGGATTCGCCAAATGTCCCCATCTTTGAGCGGCAATGGACGTACTTATCCCCGCAGGGACACTTGATCGTTTTAGAGGACTGCTAGGCAATCTTGCTGGACTTTGGCTGCTATTATTCCTTTCATAATCGTCAGGACGATGAACACTGCGTTGATCGAATTTCGAGGATGTAGCCCTCTTTAACGGAGAATGCGAGTGGGAGTATACGCCCAAGCTACCACCATCACCTTTACCGGAAGTCGGCCGGAACTGTGGTTGTCGAATAGCACTTTGTGAAATCAACGGCGATGAATCAATTCTTGGTGTTCGTACGCTTGATATCTGTGAACCAGGAACGGTCATTGTCGGAGTGGAGAGTGACTGTCGGCGAGGAGTGCTTTGCAGCCCTTTCGACGACGAGTCTGGATCAATATGACGAAGGTAGTTTGGATTGGGGTTAGTTGTAAAGCCGTGCCGCATCACAGTAGGCGTATACGTCTCCACTTTATTGTATTTCTCGTCTTTATGGGGTTGATATGAATCGCCCGTATTAAACTGTGTCCCGACATGACGCATCAACGGCTGGGTCCGGGGATGGACATATTTGATATCGTACTCATTTAGAACCTCTTTATGTATCAACAAGCTGTCTTTCGATTGCTGTGTGAAGGACGACGAAAGGGTCGACATCTGAACTGTTAGGAGTGCGGCTAAGAAAATGGTCGTTACAATAGTCACGCTCGGTCGAGGGTCAGCGGGTGCCGTGGGCAGAAAAAGCCAATATACAAGCACATGTCCCGGACTAAAAAGACAGAATAACCTGATCGCCAAAGGGTGGGGATCCCAGACACCGACTTGCCAAACATCACGCTCTGGTCTTGGATGGGATCTACTTTCTGCAGAGCTGGATGACAAAACGTTGGATAGAAGCCGCAATGGCGACGACGATCTTGGAGACGAGGCCACTTGAACTCGCTGTGCTGATGGAGTCGCAGGTACAGTGTCAATGGGCGCTTCGAACAGCCGATAACTTCGTTTTCGATTGAACGTGTAGATCGTGTTCACCACTGATAACAGGGCTAGAAGATGCACGACAAATGAAGCCTATAATTTTACAAAGTGCCTCAGGTATTAGCAGCTTGTCCAAATGAAACACAAACCGGGCGATTACTTACCAGCCAGTTCAACCAGCTTGTCCCGCCATTTTCGCCAAAGACATCATCGTAGGCTTTGCTGCGATTGCGACTATTCGCTCTCGCAACCAAGAACAGCACGTTTATTCCAAAGCCTAGAGGAATGGCCCACTCTTTTTCCCATTGCGCCCAGTCGTTCGAGTCAAACTCTTCAGAAAGCCATAATAAGAAGTCGAGGGGGTTGAGGTACGCTTTCAATCGTTCGAGAAACGGTCGCCGCCTGATCAATCGTGGCATCGCGAAAGAGGAGTTTGACCAGAAAACAAGGGCTGTACAGGTGTTTCTGTAGAGAAGCAGGCCGCATCTATAGGCTTGGGACCGCCAGCATCATGCACCGGTTTCTTTGCGCAAGTTGCTCATCGTCAAGAGTTGGAGAGCTCGAAAGCCAACAAAATCATAATAATCGTCTCTTTCCATGAAAACAATCCCTCTTAGTCATCCACGCGAGCCCCTGAGATCAAGAGCAGACGAAAGGTGTCTACCACAAGAGTTGATGCCCATGATAATCTGTATGTCTTCTTCCCAGATTTCCCGATAAGCTCACTAATGGAAGACTTAGGGCTGCTTTGGCGATTTTTGGCTAACTGACATACACCAAGTGTTCAATGTCCAAGTGGGATCTCCCGCGAACCGCTGCTATTGCTTGTTGTTCTCCCCATGCCGGCGTCGTATTATGATGTCCAATCGAGTCTGCACCACGATTTTACGAGCTCGTCAAGTCAGACTCTCAGGATTTAAATCATGCCGGCGGACACATTCCTGGACTCCCATGGAACCAAGCAAGGTCAAATATAAATATATCGAGGACGTGGAGCGTTTGGATTTCTACGTTCCGGGCGGGTACCATCCTGTGATGATTGGGGATCAGCTTTGCAATGGCCGATATGTCATTGCACATAAGCTTGGGTCTGGTCGGTCCGCCACAGCTTGGTTGGCCCAGGACACCAAGACGTCCCAACTTGTCTGCCTCAAGATATCTACTGCAGAATCGGCCAACCGAACTAATGAATTGCCAATTCTGTTGCAATTAGGGAATGCTGAGTCTCAACTACCTGGAAAGCCCATTGTTCAGATGCTTCTTGACCAATTCACTTTCTCTGGACCTAATGGATTTCATCAATGCCTGGTTTCAGACGCAGCAAGGATCAGCATCCATGAAGCCAAAGATGCTTCATATCATAGGATTCTTCATTTACCAGCTGCTCGAGCAATCGCGTCTCAACTTGTATTGGGCCTGCAATTTATTCATTTTCAAGGAATTGTCCATGGTGGTACGTTCGCCCCCAAATCCTGAATCAGGTAGCAGCAAAGCCAATACTAAACACAGATATACATCTTGGAAATGTTTTCCTGCAACTTCCCCCCAATATGCAGACCATGACTCCTGAACAACTCTATGCAAAGACTGGTGGACCATTCAAAGAATTGGTTGTGCGTTGTGATGGTGCACCACTTGATCCCGGAGTTCCTCCAGAAGTTGTTATACCAGTGTGGCTTGGGTCTGCAAGTGATGAGATTACGCTTGCAGATTGCTCCATACAAATTGCAGATCTTGGAGAAGCCTTTGATCCTCAGGTAACCAAGCAGTTCAATGCTCATACCCTTCCTCAGCTGGCACCACCAGAGGCTTTCTTTATAGAACCTGGAGAAGATGAACCTCTTTCCTTTTCAGGAGACATGTGGTCACTTGCATGTACCATCTGGGAGGTCTTTGGGGCTGGACCACCATTTTTGCCCTTTCCTTTTACAGCCGATGGGGTGCTGATTGAGCATGCTGAGATGCTTGGTAGATTCCCTGACCGCTGGTGGAGCAAGTGGAAGTCTAGAAGCAACTGGTTCAATGATGATGGGACAAAAAATGTGAAAGAACATCTTCAACAACAATTTGGCAACAGCTCTGACAACTGGGATAAGCGATTTCCAGATTACATATACTCTTACCGCTTGCGAAGCAAATTTCCTGTTTTCACTCCCGAGGAAGAAGAAGCATTTGGTGCTATGATAAAATCTATGCTGGTTCTTGAGCCCAGTAAGAGGGCTACAATTGATGATGTGGTGAAATGCGAATGGATGCAAAAATGGGGATTGCCTGAGTTGCAAAGAATGAGAGATGCAATGAAACAGGTCACTTCTGTATAAGACATTTTGCCCCTTCGGTCAGACCTTTCGATATGAAATCTCCCCTCAAGCTAAAGTGTTCCAGAGCTCAGCTATTGACTTAGCCTATATGAAAACTCAATATTGGTCCTCCGTCGCCTGAACATGACCTCGCGTCACTGCCCGGGTATCCTACAATGCTTTGCCAGCACCACTCTATTCGGCTACAACCAAAGCGCAACTTTCTCCCCTAAATTAGCGACGGGGGTCGAGGAAGGGAAAGAAACTTATATAAAAATAGGATCTTCGCACCTGACCTGTTTTGGTTTTGGGATGTTAGCTGGGACTTGAAAGCCCGTCACAGGATATCGGGAGAATAGTTAGTTATCTTCCCGAACCCTGACTCCGAGGCCACGCAAAGGAGCAACCCAGAATGCAGGAGTGAGAACAATAAAGCTAAAGAGCGGGTAGGGCGTCAAATCTCTGGATTCTGGAAGAATACAGCAAAGCAGGCATAGCTCCCATAGGAACCTAACCGTCAATGTCTTCAAGTCATACCTAGACTGTGTAACTTCATGGGTGCCAATTTTATTCCAACACATAGTTGAACACCAAACCCCATGGAGACTAGCTCGTTCTCGGCGACCGACATCACTGTTGACTCTCTGGGGCTCTGGAGGCTAAGCTGCCAGACACCAGCATGCATTGATGGGCAGAACGCACAAGAGTTGGATTTTTGAATATAACCATCAATGTACTGCTGGTTTGATAGATATCACTTTTCTGCAGTTCTCTTCGTTTAACACACAGACTTTCTTCCCGCAATCATGGCGTCTGCCCCTAGTACGTCAAAAGTACGCCTGCCCACCTCCCAATAACAGCCCCTCGCGCTTCGACTGACGCAGCACCCATTAGGAGCGCCAATTTCTAGCTGTCATAGGTGATGAGGAGTATTGTTTTCTCTCTTGAAGGTTCCGTGAATCGTTGTCACTAACCGCGCACTCGTAGTTCCGTCACGGGTCTACTACTTGCCGGCATTGGGGTAAGAGAGCTCCACCATTTGCATTCGCAGGCCAAATTCCGTCAAAAAAAGCAGAAATCTGATATAAAAAAATATAACAAATAGCATGTGACCGACCCTCCAGATTCACAGCGAAACTTCGTCGTCGTGGACTCCAAAACCGAAACCGCCGCCATTGAGAAGGCATTTCAAAACTTCACACAAGAAAGGAAGGACATTGGTGTTTTGCTAATAAACCAACATGTACGTTCCGGAGGTTCCTTTTCTTTGCCGTTGAAGAAGGGATCAGCTGTTGGACGGACGTTTCTAACTGCCGTGCAGATCGCGGAGCGAATACGGAACAGCGTTGACAACTTCACCGAAGCCTTCCCTGCTGTCCTGGAAATACCGAGCAAGGACCATCCATATGACCCGGAAAAGGACAGCGTGCTACGGCGCGTGAGAAGGTTGTTTGGCGAGTAAGCGGAGGCTTTGTAATGTAACGACGCTATGGAATTGGGGCGTTCTTGGAGAAGAGAGACGAGAAGAGATGTGATGTTCTACAGCCCCAGTCGGCGGGATATCGCTGGGGTTGGGACACAAAGTTGCCGAGTATCCTGCTGTCTGAAGCACATGGTTGCGCTTCAATCTTTCGGTCTGCGTCTACGACAAAGCACTGTTTCGGGCATGGACTTACTAATGAATTGAAGTACCTGAATTTGTGTCTTTCTATTATTCCCGTATTATGACCTGAGGGTAAAATATAATTACTCGTTTCTCCCAAAACCGACGCAGCGAGGAAACCTTAGTACGCCGAATCATTGCACATTATTGATATGTAGCCAAGACAAACGCGAGTTAAAGCAAGCTTCGTGAAGGTACAGGACGCCGTAAACAAACAGGAAGAGCATATTCGCTATTAACCATCATGAAACCGAAAAAGATCTTTCGAAACCGCACAAGGATATCAAATACAACTGCGTTATCAACATGCAAAGAGCGGCATGCAAAAAAGCTGTGCGGCACCGCGGCGGCAGATCTGGGCTCATAGTTTGAATTCAAAGGTGACACCAGCTTCGAGGCAGGTAATCTTTTCGCCGTCTTTTGAGACAACATCAGCATTAACAGTGTATGTGCCCTAAGCCACACATTAGCATATAATTGTTTGGCACAACATTCGCAAACCACCTACCGGTGGAATGTCCCGTGGTAGGTCCACATTCTTTGTAAACTCCATCTTTCCTTTCTCCAATGGGCAGTGAAGATCGACATTCTCGATTTGTTCACACAGGTCCGCGGTCTGGTTGATCAATCGAATGACGCCATATTTCACTTGCAATAAGACTTTCGCACCCTTGTCGACTTGCTTAGAGAAGGTGCCGGTAGCCTTGATCGTGAGGGTTTTGCCTCTATACATTCAACTACGCATTAGCCGCCTGGGAAGACAACGAACTGAATAACCAAGCCCCTCGTACGGCACAACTTGGATAATTCAAGCAAGGAGCTAAAACTTACGGAAGAGGTGGATTTGGGAATAGATCCACACGCTCAATGGTCAAGATATCATTCTTGGGGGGAGTGCAGAAGTTCAGGGGATTATCTCCGGGAACCGAAAGGTCCTCGTTAATCTGAATCGGAGACTGGTCCTTCCATGGAGAAAGCGAAGGTGCTGCTAAAGCAGCCGGTGATAAGAGGAGAGCGAGAATCGCTGCTGATCCAGAGAACTTCATATTGGAATGATGTGTGGAAGAATGAACGTGTCTTGCGGTATGCGGAAAATCAGAGGCAGGCAAGAAACGGGTCGGTGGTTGGGACAGAGCGCAGTTGGTTGGCGGCGACGACGACGAAGAACGACGGGCTGCAGAGGATGACGGCAGCGGGAGGTCACATGCAGGCCACCGCACAGGCGCTAGTCCCGTTGGGGAGTAGTGCTTGGCACGCCGGATGCAGCCTGCCAAGCCTTGACCGGGATATGATATCTAATCCTCTCGAGCAGATGAATAGCAGCACGGATGAAGAATGGCGAGAGGAACAATGGCGATGGCGACGGCTGGAGCTGCCTTGAAAACCTTTTTTCCATACAAAATGTGGGCTCTTTAGCTGACCGACCTCGAACAGAGACGCCTTCCTGGTGCGGAGCTATTCTCATACTCCGATCAACACCGCACATCTCACGACTACGATGTCTGCTACAGAGCCGTCAATCGCGCTGCACAAGCTAGAAAAACTCCGTCTCGTAGGCAAGTACCGGTCGTACTCCATATAGTAGCCAAATCACTGACCGCCACTCAGGTCAATTGGAAAGATTCTCTACAGCTCGCCATCACTTGGGATTTTACCACAATGTCGCTGTTTCGGCGATATACATGCTTCCAAGGGTACCTAGTTGCTCTTTGAAAGATTGCATCTTTAACGCCTGCAAGACATCGGTGGGAGAGCACCCAATACTCTCTGCAGTGCCTGTAGGTGAAGATACCAACAGCCCGTATTTCGTTCGTCTACCGGAAATTGATTTGGCCAAATCCATCTTCTTTGATACCTGGAACTGCGATTTTGCTCAGGAACTAGACGGTGAGGATGACGGGACAAGCAGCGAATCATGGGGTCGAAAATTCGACGAATTTATAGAATCCCAGCACGATACCCCCTTCACCCCCGGTTTACCGTTTTGGAGGCTTCACATTATACCAGGTTCCCGTGATGAGCAACGCTTCATTGCTGTGTTTGTCTATCACCATGCGCTCGGGGATGGATCGTCTGGCAAAGCCTTTCACACCACCTTTCTTCGAGCTCTCCCCGATGCTCTAGCTTTCAACCCGGGAGAAGTAGAAAAAATAGTGAAAACGCCCAATAAACCTCTACTACCAACTCTTGAAGCACTTCGCTCGCTACAATTGTCTTTCTTTTATATCCTCAAAGTAATATTCAACACTAAACTCTGGCCTCGCCGGGATCCTGAGTTATGGACCGGAGAGAAAATCCATCTGCCGCTGAAGAATAAAATGCACCACATCACCGTACCAGAGAAAAAAACCGCAGTCTTGAAGCGCCTGTGCCGGAAACACGGTGCAACAATAACCGCCGCGCTGCAAACCCTCGTTGCAAGGGCTCTATTTGCCCATCTTCCGAACCAGTTCAAAAAGCTGCACTGCTCGGGCGCCGTGTCTACTCGACGTTGGCTTCCAAGAGACATCGTCACAGACGATTCCATTGGCGTCTGGGTGTTAGATTTCTCCGAAGACTATACCCGCGAAGCCGTCGCCGGTCAGCCTTCTTTTCCCTGGGACGAGGCCCAGCGCTCAAGAAAGACCATCGAAACATTCCTGCACAGCCAAGGCAGAAATACCAACGTGGCACTTCTCAAATTTGTCAGAGACTACCATCGCGATTTATTAACATCGATGATCGGGAAAGACAGAGGTGCGAGTTTCGAAGTATCCAACATCGGCATGCTTACAGATCCTACATCCTTTTCGGGCTTGCACTCAAATGAAAATGATAAACACCCTGGGGGAGCATCCCAACCTCTGCAAAAGCCTCGAATTGGTAGAATGATATTCAGCCAAAGCGGGAACGTAGCAGGCTGTGCGGTGAATGTTTCTGTCATAACTGGCGGAGATGGCTGTTTGGTGCTTACCTTTTGTTGGCAGGAAAGTGCTGTAGAAACAGGGCTAGTGAAAGCGGTGATAGAGCAAGTCCAGAAAGACATCGATATGCTCACTGAGGACGCTCATTGATTGTTAGATGTGGCAAATAATGGATGATGCACATCTTGTTTATTCCCTCTATGCTACTATGCACGTTTGGATGGTATATATTCTAGCCATGTATCACTTGCATATTTGTGAATCGCATTCCGTCTGTATTATTATGTATCTCATGTAGATCAATTGACCTCAAGAACAAAACATAAGTCTTCCGGCTGTCTTGAAATCCAACTTTTAAACCCACGCAAAGCAAACAGCCTTAAAACAGCCCAGAGACAGTCCAGACTCCCAACAACGCCGCCATTTGAAGAGGCCCGGTATCATTATCATTGACCTGAAAACAAGGAGCTCAACGTCGCTGCGTCTTGCCGACAGTCCGCTTACCAGAGAACTACAAAGTAAAATATACCAGTCAGTAAAACGAGATGAGATACGATCAAACGGGGGAAGGATATACGTACCAAATGCTTCGGCAAGGAAGCAACCGTATGACGATCCGCTTCTCCTTGTCTCGCCATGCGATTCATCTTCTTTTGTCCTAATTTCGCTAACCGTTCTGCCTTGGACCTCGCCGTCGTACTGGTAACCCCGGCCACAAGACGATTGGTGGCTGCTTGGCTGCGAGCACGGCTCTTAGCTCTTTGCACCGCGGCCTGGCGAGAATCAGCTGTGGAATCGATGTCCATCGCATCCTCATTGAAGTCAGCTTCGCTACGGGTTGTAGTACGACCACGGGATTGCTCTCGGGCACGCGAAGAAGATGCAGTCGCATCGTAGCCGATGGAGTCGAGGTGAGCTTCCATTTCTGATAATTTCTTGGCCTTTGAGCTCCGGGGAATAAGGGCACGGTTCTTTAATGATTTTCGCATCTTGGCCTCGTTGCGGATCAGTGCTCTCTTCTCTCGGATTAAATCAGCCTTCATGCGAATCTCTGCCTCTTCAGCATCTTCAACACTCTCGTCCGAATCGTAGTAGCCCTCCGCTTCCAGTTTCTCTTCCTCTTCCTCCAACTGCTGGAGTTTCTCCTCAATATCAGGATCGACGAAATCATAAATGTTCTTTCCATCCCAGATCTCGGGAATCTTGTCATGATTCCAGTCACTGTCTGCAAGCTTGTAGTTCTTTTTATAGTCAGCGATGTATACACCAGCACCTCCATTTTCCATCTCGATATCCCGCTCTAGTTTCCGTCTCTCAGGGTCCTCCTTATCATATTTCTTAAGGTTCTTAACGGCTTCTGGAATGAACGCTTCGCGAACACCACCCAACGGTTGAGCAACATGGATGCGCGCCAAAACGTCACCAAGTCTACCACTAGTTGCCCCGGAGCTGTTGGTACCTGTCTTCAATTTCTGAGACACACGCTCAGCAATCAACCTGTCACACGCAGCATTCTTGACTGCCGTTACACCCTCAGTGGTTGTGCACGAGAGCTGAAGCAATTCGACACCCGAAACAGTCAATAGCTTATCAAGTTCTTCTTTAGTCGTAGGATCGAGGTCCTCTGGGCGCATAACATCAATTTTGTTCACAACAATGAAAACCAGTTTATTCGAGAATAGGGGCTTGATGCTGTTAAACAATTTGATTTGATCTGAAACAGAATACCCGCACTGTTCAGATAAGTCCATGAAGTAGAGAATCGCAGACCGCAAATGGGCGATAGCTGTAATCGACTGCATTTCGATCGTGTTCATTTCTTCGAGTGGATGGTCCAGGATTCCGGGTGTGTCTATCGCTTGGAATCGAAGGTATTTGTAATCGAAATGACCAACAAACAAACTCTTCGTGGTAAAAGCATATGGCTGCACGTCCACATCCGCTTTCGTGATACTCTTTAAAAAGCTCGACTTCCCTACGTTAGGATACCCGCAGATAAGAAGCGTTCTCGTATTGGGGTCAATCGAAGGCAAACGACCAAGATGCTGTCGTACTTGTTCCAGATATACCAATGGATCCTTCAGCCTTTTGCAAATCGTGGCCATCCGACCCAAAGCAGCTCTTTTGAGCTGCTTACATTGGAACAATGACTGTGCGTATTTGATAAGGCGTACATAATCTCGAGATACGGTTTCGACCAAACGTTTTGCCGTTGATAGCTGACCAAGCGCAATTCGGAAATGATCCGCATCGTAAAGAGTATTCAGCAGGTCCTTGTCTGCGTGTAGGAAAGCGAGTGTTAGAAACCAGCTTAACTGCCAACAACCATCTGTACGAAGTCGCAGGGGGTCAGCCCGTCACTTACGGAAGGGGTGAATATCCTGCAGCCTCGGGAACCCATCCAAGATAGCCTGGAACTTCTCGCAAAAAGTTTCTTGGGTGTATTTGACCTTTCGGGTGTAAAAAGCTACAGTAGAGAAAATCGAATCAGTAAACCACTGTGCACCGTCGCGGGAGTTTCAGAACACGAGGCCTCTGAAGAGCGACAATACCTCTAATACGACTGATCTTGAATCCGGCCCTAATCTGTGTCGGCAACCGCCTTTGCGTTCGACTGAGGACAATGTCGAGGAATTCCTGGCTCGTTGGCACAGGTTGTATCTGCGGGATATCCGGTCAGAGAAAAATCATACAACGCAGGGCAACACAACTCATCGATACTTACGTCTTTCCATGTTGTCTTCATGATGACGAAGGAAACCTCGTTACCGTAGAGTCGATGTCCCGCTGTGCAGGACAGCTTGATGCCGACAATTTTGATAATTTTGTTGGTGGTTCTGACATGGCGCCCGATATGGTAATTTTTCCCGAGATAAGGATTTGCCAAGCGGAAGGTTTAGGCGGAGAGCTTGACTCTTCCAGCTGACTCAGCATCGACGAAACGGACGACGTGAAGATATTGATATGGAGGATTGCATAGAATGATAGTTATATTCCATGTCCTGTTCTTCGAATGAGTTAATACAATCTACTGACTGGTTAATCTTATGGATCCCATTACCGCCAAATTTCCCCTCCCATCATCCAACACCATGCTTTTAGCCATACAATGATACATGGAAAAGGGTATGTACATTTGTGATGTGCATTATTAACACCAGGCACATTCAATCAGACCGATTGTTAAAGAAAAGATCTTTAACTTGCGATTACAGTTCAAGGATCTGTCCCAAATTGCCGTAAGCAAGTGTACGGTTGAAAAAAGCACCCCCCCCGAAAGAGTCAGGGTGCAATACATGTAGTTGTACTTACCAAACTGTACCAGCCACCGCCCCCAAAGGTGCATTCGCTTGGCCCGCAATTCTTAAAGCCAAGGTTTGTGTAGAAGGGAACCAAATGATCATGGGACAGTAGAGCAATGCGATCGGCGATTCTTGCGTCCTTGATCCTTTGGACATAGGCTTTCAGTAATGTTTTGCCGAGGCCCTTCCCTTGATGCTCTGGGATAACTGCAAGCGAGTGAACTGCAATTGTCGATCCCTGATCCTGATGGCCCAGCGGCTCAACTCCGGCTGCATCCGGCAAAGTCGATGACCTCTCTCGCCAATTTTCAGGTAATCCCATCGAAGCATCGCTTACTGCAGGCGCAGGGGTTCTTGTTGCTAATATATGGGCAACGAGGGTGGCTTCTGGTTTCTCTTCATTTGATGTCATTCGTGGGCGCGAGAAAATTCCAAGCGAAAGTTCCGGACATTTGGTGAGACGGTAAAGAATCTAAGCAAGGAACAATTATCAGTTTCGGACTACTGAAAACGTCACAGCTAGCTCCCCGACTCTAGACCAGTACATATCGGCTTTTTGAACAATGATTATTGGGGGTCAAGATAGAGAAAAGTCAGATGTACTCCGTATGCAAGAGCAATTCGAGTTATGGCTAAGGACAGCATTTGTAGCAACCGGTGCAGGATCAGAGGCTCCACTCACCTTTTCTCTGGAGCACCTCTCATGCTCCGGAAAAGCCGATTCAACGTGAACACAATCATCAACATTTGATGCGGATAATATTTGAACGAAAGGATGAAGTTCATCAAGCGGCGTTGGTTTTGGAAGCGTTGGCTGGCGGAAATACCAAGCACAATCTGCAACATCATCGTGATCCACGGCTACGAAGTCGTCGTCGTCAGTTTCGAAAACGCCATCGGTATCGCCAGGGCTATTGTTGACCAGGCCGTCAGCTTGAGCTACGGCAGAACGTTCCGCTATCCTTGACTGCTGAATCGGTATCGGCTGTGTTGAGCCAGAGGTTGGACTTGAAATAGGGATGGTCCGCAGTGGGGGAGAAGAGGCGTCAACGTCGCGTTCAATGTGAACATCGGCCATCGGGGAAGTGCCCGTCGTCATGATTGCAGTCGGAAATCAAGTATAACCGAGCCTCAAGAGGAAGCGCGGGACTTATCCAATCGAACACAATCGAGCACCAGGAAGCGTAAAGGTCGAGGAGATGTCCCAAGAACTATGGCAAGTAAATAGTTAGCAAAACTAAATGCTCAAAAGATCAAATCATATGATGGCAACGATGGGCTGTGAATTCGCGAACAGCCCCGCCAGCAGCATTTGAGGCGACACAAACCCGACACAAGTCTAGCTGTACTAACGAATCGTAAATGGAAATACACCTACTTTGAGCGAGTTCTGTTGTTTGGAGTCCTATAAGGCACTCCTAGTGAGTTTCAACTGGCCTGTTGCGTTTTGATCCTGGATGGTTCGAATGATGACGTCGGTGAGCGCAGGGCCACAAACCCATGAAAATCGCGAGTTCAGATTTCTCAATGCCCACGATCCATTCAGCGGCGTCACTCTCAATATGGAGAAAGAGAATATGCTGGGGATTGATGCTGTCAAATTATGTTGGTGGGATGAGAACTACATGAGGCTGCGGGGTTTGGGGGCAGTGACCAAAGTAGACTCCACGCCTGCCTTGAAACTACATGCGAGCTAACCAGAGACTCTCCCCTGCCTACACTGCGGCCACCTTTGCAAACCGACAATCTGCTATCGGATGCCCATTAATGAATAACGGACCTCATTCAACTCGCACCAGGTATCCGCAGATGCAGCCAGAGCCCGGAACTACTAAGAGTACTGGCAGCCTGAATAACATCGGATTGCTTGCCACGCAGCAAAATCATAGTGGAACACTGCATTCTGTGAAGTATCTCTGGTACAATTTTCATTTAATAATATGCGGGTGCATTGACTTATCCCCAACTATTCTAGTTCTTAATAGGGGACGTTGACAGGCCGCTTTTGAACGCCCCAGATATGTATGTGGCCATGTCCGTACGATGCTCCCGCTTCGTTGGGGCGGTGGGATCCCGGAAGCGCGCATTATAGTTCAAGGCAGGGACCCAGGTATACCATCTGTAACGCCAACCAGGCTGTGGTTAGCATTCTGGATGCTTTCGGTTAGGTTGAGCCACAACCCGTGGGATTGGGCGTACATTTGGTATCCCACTGCAAGTTCCTTCCAGTCAGATGCGAGAGAGTGGGCGAAATGGAAACGCATCCGCGTGGACACGGATCGCACGACCTGATATTAATTCCCAGAACAGGCCCGCAGCATACCGCCTTGTTACACCAAGACTGGTAGCCACTGGTTCGGAACACTCTTGCAGCAGCGGTATCTTTCGATCTGGAGGTTCGTTGTGCCTATACGCTAAGGATGCTCGATGTTACAGCATAACCGGCTGAGGAAACCTTGGGATGTGAAAAACAAGCAGCGGGAACGCAAGGTACAGTGCGATCAGGATATGCACCAAACTCAGAAAGGGTAATGGGGAGGGTGCCCGCTGATAACCTGGAGCCAATCCAACCCGTCATGGAAACACTCCGGGAGTCTGCGGGTGCAGACTATTCCACGTCACTGCAGGGACGAGAGAAATCAATGCCAAGTACTCGCAGGGCTCACATTGCAATGCTTGTGACAAGTGTCCCGGTGTTGCAAGCTCAAAGCCAGCAGCAGTTCAGAAGGTGCTATTAACGAGCCACTAAAAAGAGCTGGCGTGTAACTCCCAGGCATGAATTGGAAGCACAAATATGTTGTATTGCCCAAAGAAAGACCCAAGCGACTGCTTCCAGGCCACTTGCAAACAGGGACATGAGGATACATTAGCTATCGAGCGCGAGGTACCAAATCTAGGTATCTCAAAACGTAGCTTCCCCTGGATTCGAGTGACATTTTGATGCGACTGCTGCCGCCTCCCTGAATCCATATCCATTGACGGGATTTGGCAGCTCTAGATCATGAGAGACGCCCAGAGATCTCCATTCTTTTAGTGGGAGATCATCAAATAAAAGGCTGGACAAGGCTTTAAGCCGCCCATCGGGTTGGAAATCGAGGATGAAGGGATTCTTCAGATGCCACGGCCCACCAAGGGGATGGGGGCTAGTGCGACTCCGCTTCTGCATAGTTGGCCCTGTGCGTTTGGATGGTGTAGCCACGGTGACTTGCTTCTCATTAAGTAACTGTCAGCTAGGATGGAGGTGGCTGGAATCACTCGGTGCGCATTGGTGTGTTTACACCGAAGGAAGCCTATCAGTATTGCAGGATCTGGCTACCAGGGTTCGAGACGATGAAGCAGTCAAGCAGGAATAAAATAGAGGCTTAATCCGCGGCTCTTTATCGTTCCATTTGATTCTCTTGCAACAGTGTCTTCAGAACGAAGCCGATAAAGCTAGTCGAACCGTGCGAGGCATCCATCTGGTGACGAAAGCCTAGTTAGCTTGAGCAAACAGCGGTCCGATCGTCTTTCTGTTGCATTTCTGGAAGCGCCCGAATAACAAACATCCCCCGATTTCTTAGAGCGAAATCCTTTATTTTCCATCCGAGTGTTGAAAACAAGAGCTTGAAAGGATTCTTCAGCGTTTTTGAAGCTGGAAAAGCGCCTCCTCTCACGTCATCACCAAGCTGAGCTTCTCCCCCACATAACTAACGAATTTCAACGACGCTTGAGGGCTCAGTCACCAAATATTCCCTAACGAAAATGTATTTGGAACCGAAATCCCGTTGGACTTGCTTGGGGCATTTTGCTAATTCGAGTTTGTTTGATAGGCGAATCTCCGTGTCCGTCGTGGCCTCCAACGTGGCGGTCGACAATGACCTGATATCCCTCGATGTCGGCGAAGAAATGACACTCGCAGACCTCAAAGCTGTAATACAGAGCGATATCGAAATTCCCCCGGCTGCTCAGAAACTATTCCACAACAACCTGCTACTGACAGACGATTCGAAAACCTTGTCACAAATCGGAATCACACCGGGCGATATGCTAGGATTGCACATTCGAACCCCCCAGCAAGAACTTCAAAGGCCTCAGGGATTGGCGCACCCTACTTCGCGAGTGACTCAACAGGCGTTATCGCGAAGGCAGCAAATGTTGCCAGACCCGGAGACGTTACGTCTACATATGTTGGGTGACCTACGGGTGCTGGAGGGAGTTCGAAGTCAAAACCCACAGCTGGCGAACGCTGCGGAGGATTCTCAGCGATTTCGGGAGGTTTTATTCGCTCAACAACGAGCTGAGGCGGAGGCTGAAGCTGCCAAAGAAGCAAGGATCGCTATGCTAAATGCCGACCCTTTCAACCTTGATGCACAGCGGGAGATAGAGGAGATCATTCGCCAGAACGCCGTTACAGAAAATCTACATAACGCAATGGAGTTTAGCCCCGAAGGTGTGTAAGCCCCCTTACTTTCGTTTCAACGCATCGACTCATCCGTATTTCTCAGTATTCGGTCGCGTTACTATGCTCTACATTCCTGTGGAGGTAAACGGCCACAGGGTGAGAGCTTTCGTTGATTCGGGAGCCCAAGTCACAATAATGTCTCCCGAGTGTGCATCGGCGTGCAACATCATGCGTCTAATTGACCGACGATACGGCGGAGTTGCCAAGGGAGTGGGCACAGCCGATATCATGGGACGTGTACATCTTGCCCATATAAAGATTGGTACCCTTTTCCTACCATGCTCGTTTACCGTCATGGAAGGCAAGCATATCGACCTTTTATTGGGCCTAGATATGCTGAAGAGACATCAGGCATGCATTGATTTGAAAGAAAATGTGCTCAAAATACGGGACCAAACTGTGCCCTTCCTCCACGAAGCAGATATACCAGATCACCAGGATGAATTTGCAGATGAACCGCTTGTCCGTGGACGAGACGGGGCCGTTGTCGGCGGACGATCAGGTGCTGTCACTCATCCAGCTGGAAATCCCGGCCCAGCCGCGCAGAATATATCAGCATTATCATCAACGCCAGCCAAACGACCTGCACCGGATTCTCCTAAACCAAATCTTAATACTTCATCTACTCGAGCGCCAGTGCCGACCAGCGCCAATACGTCCCGCTGGCCAGCAGATTCAGTATCCAAAATCACGGATCTAGGTTTTACTCGCGAAGAGGCCATTCAGGCTCTCGACGCTGCAGAAGGTGACTTGGACGGGGCAATCGGGTATCTCATCTAAACAAGCAGCTCTTTGTTTCTTGGGAAAACAGCATGTTTTGATACCAGTCCAGTAATCCCAGAGCGAACCTGTCTTGGAACACAATCCCAACTCCCGAGTGTCTTGACGAAGGAATTGTTTCATTTCTTTCTTTATTTTTTATTTTTCCTCCACATACCTCCGTTTTCGAGCGGCAGGAGCAGGGGCAGATCATATCTCGTTTTTTTTTTTTTTTCGCTGGGGTGGGTCTAGCCCAATGTTCCGAAAGGACGAACATTTACGATATTGCAATAATGAAGCCCGGGTAGTGAAATCATTAGACTAGGATTTGGATATCTCTTTTTATTTCCCCTTGTCTCTTGGAAGAATCAAGGCATCCTGTCCGGAATAATCAACCATGCTCGAATAATGGCCAGTCTTCTTGTGTCCAGACGCCGCCCGGTAAGCCTTCGAAGTATTAATACCGTAGGTGTTGACGAGTGTCTGGCTGGGCTTCAGTGCTAATTAGGGGAAGTGATTGGTCAAATCTCCGATGCAACTTGTCGTCCAGGATCAGATGCATGCAGATGTTCAAAAGGGGAATACACACACATGCACGGGAGTATCCACGATGAGATATTTTCCGGTTTCTTTCTCCGATAGACATCTTCCCAAGTGCTACCTTTCAATGCAAAATCTAACCGTACAATTGAGGCCGAAACATTTTCACCCTCCTGGTGAAGATTTAGATAGAGTACATAAATAGTAGTATACCAGAGATCTCGAACCCGGAACTTGCTAATAGCTTGAATCCCCAGTCCGTTTTTCCCTTTTTTTTTTTTTGTTTTGGCCGACCTTCAGCAGGAAATGGACGCCAAAGGGACTTTTCTTTTTTTTTGTTGGGACACAGTATGCGCTGAATGGAACACGCATTAACTGGCCATGTCGGCAGAGGAAAGGAGCGTATAATAAGGAGAACCGAAGTGGATTTCGAACTAGGTTGCGGGTAATAGCATTCCTCGAAACCTCTCGAGGAGCGTGCGCAGGCGAGACTTAACTAGTTACCCTTGTTATTCATTTTTCCCCGAACAAGTGAATATCGTGGCGAGGTGCGTTGTTTCTCCGCAAAAGACTCGGTCATTTCTTCGCATAGTGCGCCCCTGTCCCCAAGAAAAAGGAACTCGGAATCGGCTTCGTTTCCTTCAGTCCTTACCCGGCTCTACGTTGCCCTCCAGAGATAACAAACCCATAGCAAAAGACATCATCACCGCCGAGTCAGGGAGAATAGTGACGAATCTCCTATCATCTTTCGTTTCGGTTATATTTCCTTGTCGGATTTCCTGTGCGGGGTTCACTGTGCGTGTATACGGCGGTCCCCTGCCGAGTTCATGTACCTTCATCCAATACTTTTCGCAGCCTGAGGCCACAGCAGTCGCTGAAGTCCCGCCAGTCACCCTTGCGATATCACGTAATTTTGCGACGGTCCATGCGCGCTGTACTGGATTGACATACTGCACTCCAGCAAAGAACAAGGGGATCATTAGTTCGTTCAGCACGCCAACGGTGGTGGGGTGCGGGTTTGGTGTATTGATGCCAAACTGCTGAATGTGGTGGACTCCGGCTGCGATTCGCCCAATCAGTTGTGCGTACTGCGAGTACGGTAGCAGCACATCGGCAGCACACTGCTGCCAGAGCATGCGGGATGCCCTCTCAGCATGATCGTGCTGTATATAAACGACATATAGCAAGCGACGACGTGAGT